TCAACTATTTGATAAATTGAAAATCATTCTGATTATGGCATTAATCTGAGGAAATTCGGATTTTTTTTTCAATCTTCACGTATTTCAATACTGTTACTTATTTTATTGACAAACGGTGTCTTTAACTTCAATAATACAAAAGTATTTAAAAAAAAAAGAACTTTGAGTTTATTAACTTTGATCATGTCTGACAATTTGGTCGAATGACAAGAAGTGGACGGACTTTAGCAATTACCAAAGAGTAATAACAGTCCAGTTATTCTTCTATACTTTTTGTATCACTAGTATCCCCTTCTTTCGGACAATAAACCCTTTCGTCCAAGATTCAAAATAGGACCAGCTTCCAAAAATATCATCATGTTATTGAATAGTGTAAGTGAAACTGGATTTATTTCACAGACTATGAAAACCTCATTTTGAATATAATCTTCCTCACAGCTTTTAAGATGTTTATTCACCTTCTCTCAGATTACTTTATGTAAGTTTTCGTATGATGTATCTAAACCCGAATCGCTATCATTATCAAATACACAATATTAGTTGAAGATAATAAATGTTTAAAATGTTCAAAAAAAATCTTCAATGGACAGAGAATTATTTAATATACGCTTACCGTTCTTCTTGAAGTATAATGAAAATGATTTATTATGTTTTCTCAAAAAATCCTTCATACTTGTACCTGCGTTTGAACTTTTTGTTCTGCTTTCCTATGGTTATTTTTTATCTTTGTTTAAAATATTTCGATTTCTTTTCGACTATCATGTAACTGAAGTGATGTACACTAAGCTTATATATTTTTTATATCAAAATTACATTCATTACTTAACTATATTCTAATTTTTGTATGACTTTTAGAATGCTTTGTTCTTAATTTTGATGCTTCCAGTGCTTTGTTTTTTTATTTTGATGCTTCAAGACTAGCATTTCCCTAACTTGACAAGAAGTTAAGGTAAGGTTTGCAATTACAGGGAGATAACTCTTACGAATCACCAAAGCGTTTGAAACAGGTGAATTTAAACCAGCGATGCTAAGTATTCACTCGGTAACGAATATCCTCTGTCATACTTGATGTTTGTTGTCACTTCCTGTTAGGACTAAACACAAAGGACATTTTCAGGAGAAAATCTTATAACAATTCGAAGCATAGGAATCTTAGAAGCCTTTGAGTTTAGCGTGATGCTCGTGGATAAACCAATAAAGGAAGACTTGTTTTTTTTTTTTCAATACGGAACGTGGAAAGTTGCACGGTCATTCCAGTCAGAAGAAAGTCATTGATGCAAATAATTGAACATTGTGTGTTTCTCGCTTCACCACTTAACTAATATTTTAAGTGACGATGGGAAAGAAAAAAGAAAAGACCCGAGAGTATCTTGTAAAGTGTTACGCTACATGCAGTCCGATCAGGGAAGAAAAGTCGCGGTGCATTTGACCATGTCCAATGATCATGACAGTTTGATTGTTGATAGTATTTTTATCAGGTAATTATTTAACTATTTATTATATGTATTTGTCTTTTATTACTGCGATTGCAATACAATAACTGAAAGTTATGAATGATCTACTGACTACTGATTTGAAAGCGATGAAAAAACGGTATCAGGATGTGACCAATATACCAACATTGCAAAAAAAGCAGTCTTTCAAGAAGTTATGAAAAATAAAACCCTTGGTTTTTAGGCCTATTATTTGTAACATTGGAACATGCATTCAACTGTTCAAGTTTCCTTCTGTAAATGAAGTTTGATTTTTTTAATATCTCATTTTCTAATTAATAAAAACGAGATACAGATTGTGCATGAAAAGAACATTCTTTATCAAGCATATGAATTTAACTAATTCAATCTGTAATTTTTACAATAGTTCCATATTGATTCTTCTTTGATTATATTGGAAATTTATTCATTTCATTGAGTTTAAATGTTATTGTAAAGATGAACACATATGATTTCAGATTAAGGGTCATTAATTGGAATAGATAAGAACAAAAAAAAAGTACTTCAGTGTTTCCTTAAAAGATTTGTGCCATCAATAAAATTAGAGGTCATCCTATATCAGCTCAGATATATAAAGAAATTTGGATGGATCAAGCTAAGGTGTTGAACCAGATATGGCGATATCAATGGAGATTTGGAGAAGAATTTTGACTTATTATACCTAATGCATATTTTTATATGTCTATAGATAGTATAGAAGAAAATTTAATGTTTTTAAAACATCCTATCTAGTATCTACATGCTTTTTTCCATATATTAAGAAAACAATGAGTCTGTGATAATTGCAGTACATGCTCTGTTTGTCCATCTTTGAACTTGTGTTCAGTAAAATGAATGTATACATCATAGGTATTAATTGAAGGTTACTTTTGTCTATACTTAACATGTTTCTTTTTAAAAATGGGTTTGTAAAATTGCAAGGAAATTAATACATGAACAATTAAGATTAATATTTTTATTCATTAAATTTTGTTCTCACCAGGACCTAACATGCTCAAATAAGCATTTCTGAAAACTAATGAGTTTTGTACATAAAGTTAAAATGTACATGTATAATTATATCTACTGAAACAGTATAAAACATGACACTTGGAAGTTGTAATGTTGTTCATTTTAGTAGGAATGATAAGACCAGTTTAATACTCTAGTAAAATTAAAATCTTTCATATATACATGTAGTTTTATTTTGAAAAAAAAATCATTTAATTTTCTTTTTTTAGTTTGGTTTGATAAATTAGAAAGTTTTGTTTTATTTAAAGTATTATTTTATGGATATCCAGGGGATATATCTGTCACTGTAGCATTGTTTCTTTTTTCCTGTTCTTGACAAATATTTATGACAGTGTAACGTTATGTCATTTTGCAGAATTTGCCTGAAATAAGTAGTACTCTGTTAACTCATAAAAGTATGAATTGATGTCACTTAGAATTTTATCTCTTTTGTTCTTACTTTCAGACATTTCAATTTAGATTCTCAGTCTAATAAATGATTGATCTAATGTCTATGAAGTTTAGAAATAGGTTAGGCCATCTTTTACTTACTTTCTTACTTTAAGACATTTCAATTTAGATTCTCAGTCTAATCAATGATTGATCTTATGTCCATGAAGTGTAGAAATAGGTTAGGCTATTTTTTAAAGGAAAGTTATGTTGCCAGCCTCTCCCGACCGACTGACTGAAATGGCCAGACTCAAACCTTTTTTTTAATGAAGGACCGATTTTTTTTTTTCTTTTTATTCCTCTTATCCCCTTTAAATACGTTGAAGATTTTCTCACCTACCGACCCAATAATTTTACCCTGGGTCAAGAGAGGTAAAAAACATTACTTATTTAATTTAAAGATAGCATTTCTACTTTTCGAAGAAAAAGAATCATTTAATAATAAAAACAGCAGCTTCGTGGATACAATGCTTACAACATTTCACTCAAAGAATGGCATAAATGTATAATGACAAAGTCACCAGCCATCACTGAATACAGACATTTTGATACAAAGATATCTAGAAATTAATACATGTTGGAATGACTAAATCAGCATGAGATCAAATTCATAGGCTTTTAATTGGTTTAGTTGCAACTTGTTCTGAAGTATGTTTATACACATATACTTCAAAAGTGTTGCAGTATAGTTCATGGACAATTTCATCAGAATATTCAGATGTAAAGATTGCCATAAATACTAGAGTTCTCCCATGGAATAAATTTTCATACCATCATGTAGCACAGAAGAAGTGTTATTTTGAATATTTATGGCCAATTTATGCCTTAAAACAATATAATGAATAACATTTAGTCTGATGAGCACACCATGAGAAAGTGAAATCAATGTTGTCTTTCAAAATGTATAAAAGGGCTTGATTTTATGTTCAAAACCAATAATATAGTCAGTGTTTCCATGGACATATATATTTTTTAGTTCAATTTAATGAAAATTATCAAATTAATAACTTCATGGATTTTGATGTAATCGGTAAATATGGAAAATATTGATTTTTATATTTTTGTTGCCATAACAACGGATTTACTTTATCAAGGAAAATTGAGAACTTTTTTAACCAAATTTTCATATTTTTGATTACGGAAAATTAAAAGTTTAAATAATATAAACATGAATTATACTAATTCAGGTCATTTTAATTATTTAAGTTTGATAGTTTATAAAATAAATCAATTTTTTCAATGAAAATAATATTCGAGGTGAAATATGAAATACGTTAAATTTGGCGTCTTTTATTTCAAAACTGGGACGGACAATTTCTTTGAAATTCATATAAAATGATGAAGCTAACTTTCTTGAATAAATTGATATACAGCTTGTGTGCAGATTTAAAAAAAAATATGAATTGGAGGGAGACGCAAACCTTACCTAAAACCCGCAAATTTATCGTTTCGCATAAATCTACATATTCATTAATGCCCTTCGAGTTTGTAAATTTCATGTCCACAATATTTCTCAAAACACCATGGAATAGCAGATTTGTTCCCAAGTTACGATACAATTTACAACCTCAAGGTGGGACATGCAGATGTGTCGAAATAATTTAATTTCACTTATATCAAGCAATTTCATTGGTTGAATCATTCAGAGGAACATATAATATTTTGTCTAACATAACTTGCATTCGTCACAATGAGTTACGTCAAAAACGTATTACTCCGCTTGACGTTACTTTCAAAAAATGATATATTTGAAGCATTTTTCAGGAGGAAAACTTGTTTCATTGTTAACACTGAAATTAAATTATAAGAGATGAAGCTTATTTCAACTTATGTTATACGATATAAAATAACTTTTTTATAAACCGCTTCACGGTTTATAAAACGTAACCTGCCCAAAGTTATGTTATATCGTATAACATAAGTTGAAATAAGCTTCATTCCTTAAATTAAATGATATAACAAGGTCTGAAACAAGTTAAATTTTGATAAGCTTATAATATTCACAACTCAATGTGAGAAAAGAAATTACATGCATTATATATAGAAATCTATATTCACATAACTTACATGTACCTCTCACCTGTACTCTGTCTGAATCACGGGACACAATGTTTACAGAGGATATCTATATCGTTATCAAACGAGCTGATATGACCTTAATACTTAATGGTTATGAGATTAAATGTTATGCGTTATCTATTTCATTATTTACATTCAATAGCTATGTACATACCTAAATGGTTAATTTGTCATAGCCATTTTTATAATTGAAAACATTTGTTTGTAAATTCATTAAATAATTAATATTAAGTAAATGTAATTTATTCAAAGTGAGTAATCTTATTCAATGTGTGTTTTCTATCTGTTATGTTATGTTGGGGGGGGGGGGGGTCTTTTAAATTAGGGAGCACGATGTATTCCTACAAAGGCTTTAAAATACATGTTAGCTAAAAATAAATGATTGGTAAACTTTCAGTTGTGGCGAGCAAGTCATCCATATACAATCGATTTTTATATGAATATGCAAATCTTGATAGTCACTACCGAGTTGACGATTGAGCAAAAAACATGACTAGACCATGTCGTAGGCCAGAAGATCTTGTGCAATACAATAAGGAATGCTCTTATCAACAGTCAACTTGATAAGATTGATTAATTCACTCATGTAGAGAGGTCTCCAAATCCCCGTGAAGAGATTCAGTTGTTAACCTTTATTCGGTACTCAGGGACATTGATCAGTGAGGGATCTTTATTGAACCAACGCCTGCCGTGACACAGGACCTTGGTTTTTAAGGTCTCATTCAAAGGACCGACAACTCTCACTTCAAAATGCCGAGAACATTGCGAAGGAACAGTTGCTACATATTTTTATCGACTTAGGTCAGTAGTCGCCGAAATTTGAACTCAAGTCCTTCCTATCACGGAGCGGGCGCTCCAGCAATTGAACAACAGTGAACAGAATTTTTAAGCGACCAGAACCGAAGGTGTTTATTTTGCCAACTGTCTTAACGTTTATCGTAAAATTTTGAACGCACCAGGTGACAGACATTTTAAAAAATGGCATCCTGACTCCCATCAAAATCCAAAGACTTGTATTTCCGAGTAAATTCAGATGACCAATTGTTATCCGTTTTCGTCCGTCGTCGTCCGTCGTGCGTTATCATTTGAACATTTTCAGCTTCTTCTCTGAAACCACTGAATTAATTTAAACCAAATTTGGAATAGAGCATGTATGTGTGAAGGGGAACAAAAATTATTAATTTCATGGTCCCTGTCCCCCTTGGGCCTGGGGGTAGAGCAAAAACTACTAAAATTAGTGCAGCTTTTAAAAATCTTCCTTACTCCTGGACATCAAGCAGTCAAACTGTTGGTATAATTGTAATCAGCATTTAGTCTTCTACCAAAATTGTGAAAGGGCCCCAGGGTCAGGGGTTGTAGTACTAGGGAGGGGCGAAATAGGTTATATAGTGAAGATGCATTATTTCTTTGAAATTCTTTTTTTCTGCTCCTGGGCCTTTAATAAACTAACCAAGTGCACAGTTGAATTGAAAATGACTGCCTCCTCCAAAGTTTATGGCCCAAGGCCCAGGGGTTTTAGTGCTAGGGCGGGGCTATATTGATTATAGAGTGAAAATGCAAAAATTCTTTGAAAATCTTTTCTGTTTGTGGGAAATAAATAAACTAATGGCGCTAGGGCCAGGGGTTCTAGTGGCAAGGCGAGGCTATATAGCTTATATAGTGAAAATACAAAAAAAATGAAATTCTTCTCTGTTTTTGGGCATTAAATAAACTAACCAAATGCATAGCTATGTTGAATAAGACCACCTCTTCCAAAATTGTGAATTTCATGACCCCAGGGTCAGGGGCTCTTGTGCTCTGGCGGGCTATATAGATTATATAGTAAGAATGATTTTTTCTATGAAAATCTTCTTCTCTCTCTTGAGTATTAAATAAACTAACAAAGTACGTAGTTATGTTGAATTAGGCTGCATGCCTCTTCTAAAATTGTGAATTTCATGTCCCCTGGGTTAGGGGTTCTGGTGTTAGTCTGGGGCTTTATTGATTATTTAGTGAAAATGTATAGTCTTTAAAAATCATTTTTTTTCTTTACTTGGCTATTTAACCAATAAACTATGAACATAGATATGAGAAAGAAGGTTGCCTCTTTGAAATTTGTCAATTTCAGGGACCCTGGTTCAGGCTTCTTGTGTTAGGGCTGGACTCGAATGTTTATTTAGTGAAAATGCATGATTTTTTTGAAAATGTTTTCCTTTGTTCCTCGGTATTATGCCAATGATCTTAGTATATATTTATGACGAAAAGAAAGCTGATTTTTCCAAAAGCGGTTATTATTTTGCCCTCTGCACAGAGGTACATGGGGGGGGGGGGTACATAATCGGAAAATCATTTAATGCTTAGAAATCTGTATTTTGGTATAATTCAACAAGATGAAATAAAATTTATAAAATTTCCAAAATTTTGAAAGATGTGGCCCCGAGGTCAGTGGTTCCTGTAGGATGGGGTGCACAACTGATCAAGTAGAAATTTATTTTCTCTTTGTTACTCTGATCTACCTCTGGGTATTAAGTAACCAAAGTAAGCATGCTGAGTGTATAAATCTGAAAAGCAATGGTGTCTCTTTCAAAATTGTGTCAGAATTTCACGGCCTCTGGCTTAAAACATGAATTAAATTTAATTTGTTGGAAAGTTATGATACTCAAGTGACATATAAGGCCCATGGGCCTCTTGTTTTTAAAAATAGCCTTATAGTTTATTTTTGCATACTATTTTTGGATAAAATTATTAGAGGTAAAACCTTGAAGATGTAAAATTTGATTAAGACACCGATGTCTGTGCAAAAAGGTCATATTTAATGTACTGTAGCGCCAAAAGAAGCACATAAGCCTTATATTTTGGTATCATTTTTAATTAAGTTATGTGTGTAGAGACTAAACATATCCTTGGCAAAAAAGTTTAAGACTCTAAATATCAGAAGCCAACCTCGTTAAAAAACGCACAAATATCAGTGTCTGTGCCATATTGGTTTATTAGCTGCAATTTTAATTTCCAACAATTCTAAATGCAACACGGCTTTTATTGTCCTAGTACCTAGCTCGGTTTATACTATCTCATCCGAAGGACCAGTCTCCACGTCCCACTGTGGGATTCGAACCAGTGATGCAACGATTGATTACTATTGCGCGACTCTAGAGCAAACGTTCTAACCACTGCGCCATGCGGGCAACTGTCGTAAATTAGAATCCCACTGTGGGACTTAAAGACCGGGATGAGACAGTATAAACCGGTGTTCCGTTTCACTGACTCGAAAAGATCCCTACCTGCTCAATGGACCTGAGTGCCGAGTAGAGGATAAAATTTGCAACCCTCCATTGTCAAGTGGCGGCTTCTCGATATGAGTGAAAAATTTTTAGGGATAGGGAAGTTGAACAATAAACAAAGTAAACAACATGATCAATAGTCCTATTGCTCCACTTGCTAAACTAGTGACGATTTTTTTTTGTAAGACATATCTTTTTAAGCAGTTCCCCCGAAAGAGGCGTTGCCATCCTGGTGTTTATTTTTAGTAAGGGGAGGAATATGTTTCCCAGTATTTTTTATGGTGAAAAAAAAATCAGACGCCTGTCGTATTAGGAAGTCATAAAACATACAAGTGCCAGTGCCATTAGATTTTTTCTAAATTTCGTATTAAAAAACACACATGTATGTATATACAATAAACTAAATCGTGCCAAAATCAAGGGTCTGACGTTCATGTTGCAATGGTATTCATGCAACACTGTTACCATTTTCTCTGGTATGAGTTGATGGTGTCATCCGTAATACTATCATCAACCATGTTTCTGGAACTGAAATGGAAAAAATCATATTCTCCGGTCAGTTATTCCGAAAAAGAAAACTAGAGACAAATTTAGTCATTCCGTTAATTTATTCTATAATTTACGTCCATCGCTTAACATTTGTTTTCAGGAATGTATATAAATTAATGTTTAATTGATGTTTGTTAAATATGTTATGCAATAAAAGAGTACATTTATTTATGAAAAATGGGTTGGTTTTCTTACATATTATTATCTTCAACAACATTTTCAGAAATTATTTCAGTAAAATAAACATCGTCAAACTTTGAACGAGGGCGCTTTTGATTGACATTCGGCAGGAATCTAGAAGTAATTGAAAAGTGAAAATTTTCTCGACATGTCACATGAAATTTTAACACATTTTTCATTTAACGGGTTCCTGTGCAACAGAAAAGAGAAATATTTTTCCGAAATTCAGCTTTGATTTGCTAAAAAATAACTTGAAGATTGGCTAGATCAGGCATTTCGTACAAAATGCTACATTTTTAAACACGTTTTTCTAAACTTTTTTCTATCTCTGGGTCTTCTCTCCATGATTTTGAAACGTTTTTTATGTGCATTTTAATTCATAGAAACGAATACACTTTTTTTAAAAAATGGAGAGAAGACCCAGAGACCTAGAAAAAAGGAATTTTCCCAAAAAAAATCCAATTGTGTGAATGTAGTACATCTTTGTCGTTTTAAAATCATCTGTATATGTTTAGCGGTCGTAGCTCAGTAAGTATGGCTACCTGTCCAGTGCTCTCGAAGCGAAAAGTTTTGGTTCGAGCCTGGAATGGGGCATTAACTTTTTTTCATACAAACAACCATTTATTTTGTCTCTTTTTATGTATTGATGCATCGAAAATTTGAATTAGATAAATTTTGTTTCAGTTTGGTTCTCGAGCGATAAATTCTTGTCTTTTCTATAACGTACATGTACACGTATCATACATCTATGCATTTAATATTTTAGGTGTTTATTTTGAGTAACATTACTATGTTATAGTACCCCCTAGGAAAAACGAATATAAATGTTACAATTTCATAAGGTCTTTCAAAATTAATGAAGAAAAAAAAAACTATGGAAGTGTTTGTAAAATCTGACAAGCTTTGTTCCGCCAACCAAATCATGGACATTTAAACCATAAATGTTTCGTACAAATGATTTTCTGCAGATCACTAGCCTTTAAAAAAAAAGAATTTTTTTTCATAATAAATATTTTTTCAAAACAAAGTTTTGATTAAAGAGGAACGGTTTACCTCAGATTCATCGCATATACTCGTATTTGAAATAACATTATAACATCTATAATAAAAAAAAATAAAATTTACAGTAGCATGAAAAAGAAAAATATAACCACTATGAAACATAAGAACCGACTGGACGGTCAAAGTGTTAAAAAAAAAATAAGTGCTTATTTAAAAAAATAGCTAAAAAGATATCTTTCAACATCTTTAAGTTAACAAAAACTGAAAACATTACACTTCTCCACGAGTAAGTGTGTTCATTCTTAACATTGTCGCTTCTTTAATATTTGAATCTTCTTGTAAAGAAGATCGATAAGATTCCAGTGATCCTAATACATATCCAGTTATTTGTTGACAGATTCCAAGTATTTCCCATGAAATATCTCTTGATTCAGTAGGCACATGTCTTCTAAGAAGTACCAACTCTGGATACATTACAGTGAAAGTACAGTGGAATCTTGGTACTGCACATGTAGAGCAGGCGCTAGAGTAGTTGGGATGTGCTCACATATTGCATCAGTAATATGGTATCTAAGTGGTGCACGATACAGAGAAAAATCATTTGGAGTGCGGGATTGGAGTAGAAATGTCTTGGATGCAGCTGATATTTCCCCAATCATCGACGAATCAGACAGCGAGAGTGGAGAAAGTGTGCCAGAAGAGTGATTCTTATGCCTCGCCTTAAAAATGGTGTTTGTCATGACCATCTTTTGTCCCTCCATCCTTCCATCTTTCTAAGAACTACGGGATATTCAAATACATCAACATTGTTTGACCAGGAATTTTCCTTTGATTGTGGAATTTTGTGTTTAACTCAGTTTTAAAGAAAACTATTCATGATATTTTAATAGAAATTCGTTGCTTCAAGCATAATTATTAGAGCTGTTTGATTTTGGATGTTACTTTTTCTCTTTTAAGTATAAAAAAGATTTTTAAAAATGTGGTAATAATGTGATTTTATTTGTATATCATAATATAAATGCTCAAGGGGACTTAATTTGATCATATTTTTTATACATGTACTTATATAAAGTTAAAGGATATACATACCTATGTAATAGGATTATATGTTGATAAAAAAATATCCAGACATTAATTGAAATAACTAAAATTAATCTGCATCTTTGACATAAAACTGCTGAAAAATAGTATTACAGGGAGATCTCTTTCCATTCTAAGAATCAAAAGCTTTTAAATTTCATGTGAGCTTTAAATATTGTTACCATGTTTACAAATTATTGCCAGCTTACTCCTTGTCATGTATTGTCTCCTGCATATGTTATAATAAGTTGGATGCTGTGGGAAACTCCACATGTAAATAACCGCTATGTGCATTAAAAATGCTAAGAAACAGTATTGTTATTATGATTATTAAATGTATATGATACATGTATCATGAATTCATGAAATTACAACTATTTGTGCTTTGTTTTTGTTGAAAACTTGCACATTTATAAAATGAAACATGAATTAAATTAAAATAATAGTTTCAAATAGTTTGTCGATGTTTGTCCGTAATTATCAATGTTGTCCACGAACTTTACGGACAACCCTCATACTTAGAATTCATGATACATGTATCATATACATTTAATAATCATACACATTTGAAAACATGCTTATTTTGAAAAAAAATTCTTATGAGAAATACATATACGCTAAATATATGTTGACTTTTGAAGATAAAAATATATTGAGATAGAAATTCAAATATATTAGTAATTAGATTACTGTCTAAGTAAAGAGTCTATTCTTTATCATATATAAATATGTAAAGTGTCAGAATGTCAAATTTTAAAGAAATCTAACACTTGGCAATTAATTCTTAAAAGTACACGGAGTTAGAAAATAATATTTATCCCATGTTTCAGAGCTTCATTTTAAAAAACGTCATGATAGAATTGATTTTTTTCCAATAATGTACAATACATAATTACTATCTTGTATATATATATATATATATATATATATATATATATATATATATATATATATATATATATATATATATATATATATATATATATATATATATATATATATATATATATATATATATATATATATATATATATATATATATATATATATATATATATATATATATATATATATATATATATATATATATATATATATATATATATATATATATATATATATATATATATATATATATATATATATATATATATATATATATATATATATATATATATATATATATATATATATATATATATATATATATATATATATATATATATATATATATATATATATATATATATATATATATATATATATATATATATATATATATATATATATATATATATCAAAATTCTTAAAAGCCAAAAAGAGCACTTGCACTTGTTTCCTATATTGAGCACTCCTTATACCCTGTATATGAAACAAGTGGCTGTGAAATAACGTCATGGCACCTCATGAAGTTGAGAAGCATATAGCTGTAACGTCATGACGTAGCATTCATTAAAAAACAATACCAACTTTAAACGACTGTAAAAAGAAAACTAAAAAAGATATTGTTATAAAATAAATTGTTTTATAATCTGCTAATCTTAACACATTATTAAGGAAAGTTTTATTCATTTTGGTAACAGGGCGTATTTTGGTACTTTGTGAACTAAGTTCTTTGTTATTATGACAGATTAAATTTATTAAAAGAATTGTTATAATTAACGAATTAAATTCGTTATATCGAATTAAATTCGTTATATCAAATTAAATTACCGTTCACGGTAGCCTAGTAGTAGAGCTTTCGCTTCGTGATCGGGAGGCCCGGGTTCGATTCTCGTTCCCGGCACCGCGTCAAACCTAAGACGTAAAAATAGGTAGCGACTGTTCCTTCGCCAAGCGCTCGGCATCAGAAGTAAAAGTCACGGGTCCTTCGGATATGACCTTAAAGACGTATTTCCCGTGTCACGGTAGGCGCTGGCACGATAAAGAACCCTCACTGCTCAATGGCCCTAAGTGCCGAGTATAGGTCTAAATTTGAAGCCCTTCACCGGCATACGGTGACGTCTCCATAGGAGTGAAAAATTCTCAAGAGGGACGTTAAACAATATACAATCAATCAATCAATCGAATTAAATACGTTATAACAAATTTAATTCGTTATAACAATTTAAATTCGTTTTAGCTAAGACAGTTTGTTTTATCAGGTTCAAAATTATTTTTCTATAGGTCCTAAAGGGGCTTCAGTAAAAAATTTCAATGCTGCAAAAATGTCGAAAAACGGACTATGAAATTGCAATCCGTTCCTTCATACCCATTATTTTCTTAAAGCGATTAATTGTTTCTGTCCCATAAAGTCAAACTTCTTATATATTTTTTTTCATTTCGGTAGATCCAGATTTACTTTTCAATCACATCCATAGCGAACTGTTGCTCAAGGAAAACACAAAGGTTACTTGTCCAATCTGCAACACGGAGTTGGTGACGGATAACGCATTTCAGATGTGTGTTATGTCAGAAGATGAGAAGTGTTTCTACAAAGAGAAAATAAAAATGAATCGGGGTATAAGGCACCAACTGCATCAATTTGTAAGGCAGTGGAGTGTTATGTCTGAATATGCTGACAACATCGTAAATCCATAAACGATGATTTTTCAAAATAAACTTTTAATATTCTCTGTATGTTCTATACTATCGATTATTTTCTCGTATGTAGCTTATACTAAAATACCGGTATGTGTTTATCTTAATCTTGATATTTAATCTTCGTCTTTTTATAACTGTACAGTTTAATTTCATTTACATGCTAAATGTTTTAACATTTTTTTATACTGTATTACTTCTATTTTACCTTGGCTTGTTTTCTTCTTAAGCTTGTTTGATATAAGTGTCCAGAATGCATTGTTAAATTATGCGCAAAACGTTTATAAAATGGTGAATTATGAAGAGAGTATATTTTTTAAGCTCACAGACCATATACATACATGTACAATATTGCTATCATAACTGTAAAATTTCAACTAAGAAATTCTTATCGTTTATCTTTATTAGGGGCACTACCCTTTATATACAGTATCCAAGCTCCCATTTCATTATCCAGAGCATTTCAGTTTATGTTTTTTTTTTGCTGAGAACGAAGGCTTTGATCACAGGTTATAGCTTTAAGCATAGGGATTTTTCGCTGTATACTCAGAAACCTTTTTCAGAAAGCGAAGATTATTTACATACTTATTTCAAAGTTGAAAATAGCATGTCAATCGTATTCATAGACCTTCATTGTACAACTACAGCATTTTAAGCTCCCCTAGCTGAGTCGAACTCTCAAGTTAGCTTTTATGATCTAAATTTATCCGTTGTCTGCCTCATTATATATTGTCGTCGTTGTTCTCATCAGCTTTTTAAGTTGACATCTTCTCCAAAACTCTGAGTCAATTTCAACCATACTCAAAACAAAGTATACTTGGGTAAAGTAAATCCAAATCTGTTCAAATGAAGTGTCACACCCTCCTCCAAGGGAAGATAATTATTCAAAAGTGGAAAGTAAATTGCGTCGATGAAAAAGAAGAAATGGGTCAGGAAAAATGTGGAAACTAATGTGGAATCATTTTCTGTTGTGTTCATTCAGGTTTGTTCCAATCATGACCCCCGGAGGGAATCAAAACGTTCAAGTTTTTATAAAGGAGTGCAAAGGAAAAATCTTCAAAAAATCCCCTTCTCATGAACAATAAAGATTTGATTGGTAATACTTATGGAAGCATTATTCTGCGTTAGTGTAGGTTCAAGTTTTTTTTTTTCAAATCAAGACTCCTGATGGTAGGGTTTGGCCATAATGGACGATTACAGTTTAACATAGGAGTATCAGTATTTAGGAAACTTGTATCAATATCTTTTTCTCAAGAACACAAACGATCGTCATATCTATAGGGAAACATCCTCGGATAGCGTTGATTCAAATTTGTACAAATCATAACCCCTTGGGGTATGGTAGGGCCACAATGAAAGTTCAAATTTGAGGGAAGAAATATAAGAATAGTAAAAAAAAGAAATGTAAGCATCATTAGTTATTTCAATTTTGTACAAATTATACCTCCATCTCAATCAGGGCTACTTATACTTTTAGCTTTTCAAATAATCAGATAATGATCTTTTCCTTAACCACAGTGTGCAGATGATCGTTGTGGCCCCAGGGTCCCTTGTTTTCTGCTGCCGTGAGTGGAATCCTTTTGCCCTCTGAGAAAACACCATCCTTAAATGTAGCTACATGAAGCCCATTGCAATTTAAAGAAATAATAGGGGTCAAAACATTCTCATACCGTTGGAATTAAAAAAAGTCTACTTGTTTTATGTACATCAATAAACTAAGTTACAGTGTAGATGCAGATCTGTACATAGCTAATTTTTTCTTTCTTTTATTTTGTAAAGATATAATTGATTTTTTTTTAAGTGTGTGGACAAGGGTTATCTCAATGTAGCATTTGAAATAAAATTAAACTAATCATAAACATGGTTTTGTTTATACCTTACCTTACTAAATGCATATGGCATGCAATCTTCGAAATCTACAGCACAAGCCCCAATTTTTTTTTTAAGTAAACATTTCATCAACATTCTTCACACACACCCTTTTCTTCGTGGAATTCTTGCAATTTCAGAATTTCAGGCGGAAAATGTTTCCCGACCCTAAAAGAATATCTGATATTTTGACTGAAACGGTTTGAGTGTTTATAGTTGTTCGTCAGATTATTTTTTCGAGCCTACCCCTTAAATAATTTTCAATGTCAGTAATTAAAAATAAATACATGGTAAACCTTCACCTTTATCTTCATTTGTTTATTTTTGTTTATTTTATTGGGAGTTTAAATCAGAGTTCCAATTGTATTTTTCCTTTTCATTTACTTAACGCTCTTTGTCATAATCAAATGCAATGTTTCAAGCTCTGTGCATTCACTAGTTGATGATATATCATCTTTCTCTCCATTCCAAACAGTTAACTCATATTTCCATAATTATGTTGTAGAATTCGCCCAAAATCTTACTCTTTTCTTATTAAGATATATCGACGACATATTGTCAATTTACAACAGTTACTGTTATTTCCATTCTTATGTCGATACGATATATTCTGGTGAGCTTTTCATTCGTCAAATTCCCTTAGTTATACAGCAATATACCTTCATTACCTGCAAGGTTACATCTCTCAGTTGATTCGATACAGAAGAGCATGCTCTTCGTATGTATAATTTCTAAAACGAGGTAAATTATTGATAAATATGTTGATGAAACAACAATTCCAGCGCCATAATATATATATATATATATATATATATATATATATATATATATATATATATATATATATATATATATATATATATATATATATATATATATATATATATATATATGGATGGATGGATGGATGGATGGATGGATGGATGGATGGATGGATGGATGGATGGATGGATGGATGGATGGATGGATGGATGGATGGATGGATGGATGGATGGATGGATGGATGGATGGATGGATGGATGGATGGATGGATGGATGGATGGATGGATGGATGGATGGATGGATGGATGGATGGATGGATGGATGGATGGATGGATGGATGGATGGATGGATGGATGGATGGATGGATGGATGGATGGATGGATGGATGGATGGATGGATGGATGGATGGATGGATGGATGGATGGATGGATGGATGGATGGATGGATGGATGGATGGATGGATGGATGGATGGATGGATGGATGGATGGATGGATGGATGGATGGATGGATGGATGGATGGATGGATGGATGGATGGATGGATGGATGGATGGATGGATGGATGGATGGATGGATGGATGGATGGATGGATGGATGGATGGATGGATGGATGGATGGATGGATGGATGGATGGATGGATGGATGGATGGATGGATGGATGGATGGATGGATGGATGGATGGATGGATGGATGGATGGATGGATGGATGGATGGATGGATGGATGGATGGATGGATGGATGGATGGATGGATGGATGGATGGATGGATGGATAGATAGATAGATAGATAGATAGATAGATAGATAGATAGATAGATAGATAGATAGATAGATAGATAGATAATTCTAAGTCATCATTTTGAAAGCTGTATGGTCGATACAATGGCCTTGTCAGCAAATACAATTTAGCATTTAGTCAAATGCTGACTCATGTTTTAGACATTTAAAATTGTTAGTACATTATTTACACGCTGAATTAACAACGGATTTCCCGTTATAATGACAAGGAGCCCACGACGGGTGTTACCGGTCGGCGGGGGGTGCTCATTCTTTCATGGCCTCTAATCTCACCTCTGATGTTTGCTCTGCTCCTATTTTTTTTTTATTGTTTTATGGACTTTTGAGGTTGAAAAATCTTTCTAATTTCCTTTATTTTACTGATTCAAAAAGACGTAGTACTTTTTTTTTAAACATACATTCTTTAAAAAATTGCCTCATAGAAGACTTAATTCGAAGTACCATTTAAGCAGCAATGCCTTCAGTATGACCTACGCCTCACAACGATTCTGTATGGAAAAAAAAACCCTAACGGACCTGAACCTGTCTGATATTTTTATGCATATTGTATGCGACAAACATCCATTTATACATTATACGAGGGTCATTCAAAAAGTTCGTAGACTTTTGTCCTAATTTTTTTTTATTTAACGTCATATTATATCCAAATTTGGTACAAATATTTTAACAACAGATTCATATAATTTGAGTAAAAAAATTGGAATGTATCTTCATATTTATTAAAATTACCAAGGATTTAGAACAGCAAAATTGGGGTCACGGAGCACCGTCAAAATTGAGTAATTTTCTAATTTTCACTTTACAGTATTCACAGGTATACATCTAATAAATGGAGCTGAAACAAAATAAAATTTACATGTTTGCATAAAGTATTGCTGTATTAATTAAAATGAAATCAGGTTATGTAATATATCGTTCCATTTAAAAGATATCAGCTTCTAAATACATATGGACTTAATTAAAAAAGGCAAAAAAAAATCATGACGTTGAAGGACGTCACGGAGCAGCAAGTAGCAATAAAATTAGACTTTACATTCGGGAAACTTTTTCTACAAGCTTAAACAATCCTTATAAACAGGATCTGTATGAAAAAAAAAACTGTGTATTTGTATTAAATTGAAAATACAATTTTTGAGTGGTAGCGAGTTTGAATCGGGCGATGGATTGTCTGCAATGAAACAGGTTAAAGTTAAAAATATTGTCAAAAGAGTTAGGAACGTCATTGAACGTGATGTGTGCTTCAATGTTGCAGAACTAATACAGTTGCATGGTAAATCAAAGAATTTGAAAACAATAACATTCTAATACAAGCTATATTTGTACAATTGTTAGAAAACTAGGTGTTAAGTGTTGTGGATATGTGTTTTGAATGGAGAAGACGCTACAAAACGTGTTTGAAATAACAAAAGTATGTATACTTTTGACAAACTTTCTCAGCGTTGTTTTTGGCGTTACAATATTGGTTAACCGTGCTCCTTGGTAACAAAATATGTTGCTTTAAGTTTTGGCTAACATGAAATCTATTTAATCAAATGGAATGAAACTTCACACTTCGACAAAATCAATGTTTATGTTTACGAAAATGTGTTGATCTATTATCTTGTATTAATCATATGACGATGAGAAGCATTATCTACGTTTTTTTTAATAACCCTCGTACATGTACATATCAGTACATATAAATGCGAACAAAATAGCCTTGAAATGTGTCACAAAATTTTGTTGAGAAATAAAACATTACAGTCTTTGCACAAGTTTTCAAAGAAGTATTTACCTTTACATTGTACAAGTATTTATAAAGTATGTGAGAGAGGTAACTCTTGTCAACATGCCATTCCGATAAATGTACAACTTTGTTTAGTAACCTGGGTGTTGCTACAACATATCAGAGTCATTATGTTTCTATAATCAGGTAGAAAAACACTGTGATAACTATGTGGTTTATTTTAAATTTCTTTTGATCATCCAAAACAGCGTTTGAACCTCACAATCATGAATCTATGGAGCCCGAAAGGTAACCCAAACTTCCAAACTGAACGTATCAGATCACAGCTGTTGATATCTTAAAAAATACACAAAATTATATGAATTTACGTTTAAAGAAAGGAAATATATTTTTTCCAAAGAAATGTAGGTCAAGTGTAAAGGAAAAAAACAAAAAAGTATTATCACTTCATTTCAAATTAGTTATGCTGGAAACATACAGAATTCCTCAAGCATTATATTAATATATATTTACAAATAATATCTTCAATTTATTTTTGAGGAGGCACACAATCTGACCGAGGGAGTGAAAAATGTGCTGCATCACAATTTTATAGTATTTTTACTCATATGATTGGCAACAAAGCTATTTTTCCGAGGTATCTTGTCCTACGAATCGCAAATTACAATAAACCCAACATAATTTGTGCAACATGTTCATTCAGAGTCAGTAAATGAAAATTATTAGCACTTACATTTTATACTGCATTCCAGTCAGGAGATTCAGCGACATGAGGCATTGAAGGATTTTTTTTTTCTTCATTACTTGACATATCACATTTTTGGACGAGTTCTGGCATTTCCCACTTTTCCGTACACTTTCCACATTGAACAAGGGAATTTACTTCCGTCAATTTACGTTTCGTTTATTTAAAGGCAGTTTTTGGAGTTAAGAGAAAAATACCTCCCAAGGTTTTAATTTCCGGCGAGGAAGTGTTTAACATTCCGTACATGTAACTATCAAAACAATGTCAAGTATAATTATTATGAAAACGAAGTTTAAAAAAAATACCTCTTAATTGACCACAACTCATTTTACAATTCTTGGTCATTAGTGGTTTTTCGGATATGACATTTAGTTCATGATCATGCACAATTCGGTCGTTTATAAAAGGATGCAACAGTTTATCAATAAAAACCTGTTGTCATGAGATTGAGCATTAACCCTATCCTGTCCTATGTCTAAATATGGAACAGGATGATGGTAAACTGTAAAAAATAAGTTAAGTTGATTTCTAGCACTAACTTTAGAAATTCGATATTGTGCAATTATTTTCAATACCACCATTGATTGGGAAAATAAATGTTTTATGTCTTCTGATCTTCAAATTAAGAATATTAAATATATTACCTCTGTGATACTTATAGAGACCTCTCACAGGTTAGCTAAGACGAAAACGGATAATTTGATATAGTATATATCCCGTTTGTTGAATAATGTTTTAGCATCCCATAATATTTCTTATTTCGTTTGATTTAAGGGAGACCCGGCTCTGACCTAGGCATATTTGGAAGAGGTGTTTATTTTCACTGCCTTTAAATTGATGAAAATACCTAGAGTTGATAAAAAAAATGCCACATCTAGTTTATTTTTTGTTATATGCTTGGCGTTCAAGAAAACAACAAAAAATTCTTCAGCAAATAGTTTTCATCAACAATTTTGAATTTTTCACAATTTCACTACTTCTGATTCTTATTTTGATAAAAAAAAATATTCTAATATCTTAACTATGATAGTCAAATAATACAATCAAATCAGTGTATTTCAATAGCCTGTTTCATGTTAGGTTTCATCAAAAACTCCTTTTATTGTTACTGATCAATAGGTATCAGAAGTTCATTATCATCTTTAGAGTAAACGAATATGAAACTGGGCTTGGGATACGGAGCACTAAATGAATCATCTGCACCAGAGGTTGGATACTCCACTGCCTCGTAGAGATTGGACACGTCTAACTGGCATACTGCATTTCTTATGTTTATGTCAGAGTTTTGGTTTTGTCTTTTTACATGTATGTTGGAAAAGTAGCAAAAGCTTGCTCTGTCCTGGTTTTCAGTTTCAATGCAGTTTATTGGTTTGCTCTGGGGCGGTGCTTTATTTCTGTGAACTAATCCATCTTCTCGTCTTTTGTTGAACCATGTTCTAATTCTGAATTTGTAAAACCAGAACACGGCCCTCATGACAAGTATTAAAGACAACACTGAACTAACCGATGCTATAGACACGGACGGTGCTTGTTTTGATCTGGCCTTCTTTATTAAATGGAAACTTTTCTCCTCTGCAAGAATATTATTTCTATTATGACCGATGATATAAATTAATATATATATATATGTATATATAGCAAAACCGACCATTATTTTTTTTCCTTAGAATTTAATTGACGATCACATATTGAAACTTCATCATATTAAGTAAATATACTCATGTTCTCTCTACATCCAAGAACGTTATCACATTCGTTTTTTAAACAATCGCATCTTTCTTGGCAGTACTTTCCAAAGTTTGGATACCGACAATTGAAGTCACACCTAAATCCAAAGTACCCAGGCCAACAGCCAGCAGAATTGTATATAAGAATTATCTGCATTATTCTCTCTCTCTCTCTCTCTCTCTCTCTCTCTCTCTCTCTCTCTCTCTCTCTCTCTCTCTCTCTCTCTCTCTCTCTCTCTCTCTCTCTCTCTCTCTCTCTCTCTCTCTCTCTCTCTCTCTCTCTCTCTCTCTCTCTGAGGATGTACTTTAAAATAATTTTTTTGCAATTTGTAGTATATAAGGGTTTTTAAGAAGAAAACAAAAAGGTAAAAAGACATCTTTTACAATTTTCAGGGGATCTGTGCCTAAACTTAACTCCATATAATGAAACATTTCCAAAAGATATAAGAAACTACATAAAGAATTTTTAGTTAAATGTATAAATTTTCTTTAGCCTTTCTTTGTACACATCCACACATGTGGTTACATTTCTCCTTAGAACAATCACAGAGCTCTTGACATAGTTGGCCAAAATTTGGATATGGGCAAGGGATGGAGCAGCTCTTACCGTGGAAACCATTACTGCTCATTTAAAAACCCTCTTAAAATATATAGATTGTATCTATGTGATACATGTATAAACTCCTCAAGTTGAGTGTAATATATTTAAATGTGTGACCGTTGAGGGAGAGCGAGTTGTACCATCAAAATAACTTAAAATTGATCAGCCACTTCATACAATAAGCTGCACGAGACATTCCGACTATAGTTGTGACTATGGTCCCGACGATAGGAGCTCGTCTGATCTTACGGAGACAGTCGAGCGTCTGGTTGAAACTATAGACCTAGTGGAATTTAGGTCGAAAAACATTGCAGAGTTATTTTTCGTTTCTTTGAAAGATTTCTACAAACTGAAAGCCTTTTATGCTTAACATAATTATACATTTATTTATTCGCGCAAAGGACATTGGGTAGAAAAGAAATTCTGGGAATGTTTCACAGAGAAATTTGCTTGACGTATGTACAGATTTCATTCCGAATTTTCTCTATTCTTACACGTTAGGGTATTGAGCTCACTTCACTCGCTGCACTCGCTATTATTAAGTTTATTTTCATTATGTGCTCTCTTCCTTGGAAATTTATAACCAAGCATGTCACATGTGTATTTATTTACATAGTTTTTTTTTACTAGTTCTTAAGGATATAGATGAAAACAAAATCAATTGGCTATATCTTAAATTTAAAACATCAGAACACGACAAATCCGAAATAAACTGTTATTTATGATCTTGCAAAGAAAGATTGATTTCAAAATATAATTAAAGAGTATATATTTTTAACAATGGTTCTTATAGATACAACCCTGTAGTTCTCGCTAGTCTTTATCAACTGTACAATAGTATTCAATTTATTTACAGAAGATATACTTACATTTTGTTACGTGATATTGCTAATGTTAAACACCGAAAATGAAAATAGTTTTAGAAGTCTGCAAATATTACAATATTTGCATGAGACATTTTTCAATGAAGAAGGTACTGAATATTAGGAAAAAATATCATAACAAATGATTAAAAATAAAGCTTAGAGAAAACAAAACCAGTCAAATCTGCATCTGACAGATTTCAGTCAACAAGCTCACTTTATTCTATCTTTGAAAATCACTTTCTTCGAAAAAGTGTCTAACAATGTAAACCAATATTTTCAATAAGGACGATGTCTAAGTGCAATTGTGATTGAGGCATTAAAATAAAGATTCACATGAACATGGTATGCGGATTAGTTTTACATCCATTCAGAGCTGAGCAACTTTTACTTAAAAATGCGAAAAGTACATCTTTAAAGAAAGACTTGGTTAGGCAACACTTTTTTTTCTTTAAAAGATACTTATTTTTTCTTGCAAACAATAGTACTTCCTTATTGATACATGTATCTACTTAGCTTAAGAGTCTTTTGTATGGCTATGTATAGTCTGCTAATCAAGAAGAAAACAAAGGTGAACATTTTTCTTTTCTTTATCTTTCATAAATGGGTGGTAGAGCGTTCGCCTCGCTGAG